AAAATATCCACAATTAGAGATGAAGTTTTGGTATACCATTTTATAAGCTAAAGGGATTACAGAACATTTTATACAGACTTTATGTAATACCGAAATTCAAATCGTCCATTTTGACTATTGTATCACATGAAGTATGATAAGAGGAGTTAATAAGCTTTTGACTAAAGGAATTAATACTTAAAGATCCTCCAACCGTGTATTTGTGGTTTCCGTCTCTGCATCAAATCTAGTACCAGGATTATTCAAGTATTTTGTTGTCAAACAAAATTTCACTGAATATGAATGTGAAAACTATCTCACGGCAGATGCAATCCATAGTAGGTATTTTTATATTTTGTATTGAGACACCACAAAAGCCTATTCAGATCCGGCTATATAATTTGACAAGTTGGCCAACCAAGAGTTAAATGAAGGGATTATTCTAGCTATACAAATACAAGAACCTCTAAAATCCCAAGTATATAGTAGATCATGTAGACATTGACAGTGTAGATATGTAGACATCGTTGGGATTATCTAAACTCATGATAGCCCAACTAGTGCSATACGATTAAAAGATGAACTTTGGAATTTTCAGTGACTTATGAATAAATTAGGTACTTTCAGAATCAAACGGATTAAAAACATTCATCTACCTTGGTTATATAATYGTATACGTTAAAGGTTTTACAGATATTTTTGATAGGCTTAGACAATATAATCTTAGACTTCAACCGTTGAAATGCAAGTCCTTAAGAAAAGATGTTATCTATTTARGCCATCGAATAATTGATGAATGGGTCAATGGAAATTGAGTATGTACATAAATATCCTGTTTCAAAAGATATAGGAGAAGTTAAATCTTTTTTTCAGACTCTCGGGGTATTACAGAAGATTGTTCAAAATTATSGACATATTGCGAAACCATCGACCGAATTGTTGCAATTTGAAATATCTTTTCTATTCRAATATTGAAGCATTCATTGTAATTTTTTTTAGGTATTTTAAACAACACTAAATGGATTTGGCAAATATGGTTATATCTAAAAGACAAACAACAAATAAATAAAAGTCGGTTTAAATTTAAATTAAATTTGTTTTATTATTATTAACTGCTGAAATCAATTGCACATTACTATTTTTTTAACTATCTACATGTTTTACACAAAGTACACACATTTTCTTTTAATTTAATTTTTTTTACGTTATTTATAACAATAAAATGTTACTTTAAAACATAATGCTCTCTAGGACAATAATATATAAATAATTATTACATAATAATATTATAGCGTATGAAGATATTTATTTCATTTTCAAACAACATTTAAATTCGATTTTTGCTAACATCTATTGTATATTTTAATAATTATTATTTTCTGAACAAAGGCGAATAATATTGTGCATTATATTATATCAGTTTGATCTGAACTAAAACATAAATAATAATAATAATAATAATAATAATAATAATAATAATAATAATAATAATAATAATAATGATAATAATAATAAAATATAAAAATAAGAAAAAAAAACAGTTTAAAGGGTGCTCACTACCTGCACTGATTTTTTTAAATAAGTAGTAGGTACTTAGTGTACACACACAAACACGCAAACACACACACACAGGTACATTAGTACATTTAAAGGCACTTAGAAAAACAATTTTTATTTGTCTTTTTTCATGACATAATAAAACAATATAATTACCAATTTTAACTTAAAAACAAACTGCTGCTCAACAAAATGGCATTGACCGGTACGTTTTTTGTTAAACAATAATAATAAATAGAATAAAAAAATTTAGTCAATGTTCAATAAAAACTTCAAACAAATTTAAAAATTTGACACTGTGGTATGGTGAGTATGAGGCTAAAACCAATAAAAGCGGSCACAGAACGCATAAACAGAGAGTAACATACAACAGGTACAATGCAAAAGTAATTATTAAATAAATAACTATGACAGTATGTGTCGTAGGTATCTAATATAATATTATGTAATGTACAAGTATACAACAATAATGTGTGTGCGTAATATTAAAAAATTTCTTAATAATAATAAGTAAGGGAATACTACTAAAACAATTTTTTTTTATTGGCTATTCAAACTTTATACAACACATGACACGCTATATAATAATTTACTATTTGTTTTTTTTTTTTTAAATTCTTTTTTTCATAAGTAAAATAATCAAAAAAATTATTTTGGATAACTATTTCAAATACACACACACACACACATAGACACAGACACATACACATTTACGACAAAGCGATTATTCAAATATGACCATGGTGGTGAGGAGGAGACGTGATAATGGTGGTTAACCTAGTTATTTTATTATTGCCCTGTAAATCTACACATTGGGGTCAGGTAACAACCAATGGTAGTATCACCCGATGTTAAAATTATTTTGACAATTTTTAAAGAGGGATGGTATCAATCAAAATAGTCGAACAAATAGCCACCACTACGAACATACACGTGTGTACAAGTGAACCAAAGGTGTCAATCAGAACCCCATCCCCCTACCCACTGAACGTTTCTTTCGTTAAAGAAAACTCAATATTTTTAAATACAATAGTTATCAATTGCATACAATAAGAAACAACGATCATTCTATCTGATGGAATTCGAACAAAGAAAATGTAACAAAACAGTGGTYAGCAGGCTTTTTATAAGACAACAAGAACTCAGTAAGCATCGAATTGTACGTTGAAAAAAAACCGAATAATAAAATACATAAAAATAATTAGGAACATTGACTGGTACYGTTATTGACAAGTAAACAAATGTTAACATTAAAATTTACAAAACCAATACAACATAACATTGTCAATTTCATTATGATTATCATTTTATAACTACTGGTCTCCGCTTTGAAATTATTATTGTTTGTACATTGTTTTCCTTAATCGTATTATATTTGTTTTTAAGTAAAAGGCCTTAAAAAAAATAATAATAATAATAAAAAATAATATTAATTATAAGAAACCATACAATTAAAAATTATAACTGTAATTAGAAAAAAATAGTCAATTATTAAAAATAAACAATATTAACAAATTGAGCAGAGCAGATCTGTTTTWAAAAAAAAAATATTGCAACTCAAAAAGCAAAATATTCAATGCAGCAAATATATTTAAAAGATTAATAATTATGTGGTGGCGTGTAAAAAAACAAAAAACAAAATAATTATTTTTAGAAGAGCACTTTACATTGTGTGATCATAAATGTTTCACAATAATTTGTATGTCTTAAATACTAATATACACTAAATATGAACCAACAAGTCTAATTTCACAGAGATTTGGTTTCAAGTGTGAGAACTTGACATGCAAAATCTTTAAAACTCGGCCAAATCTCAGATGTAATCTTTTACATATCATAGCGTGATAATTGACAGTTGTTTTAATGAAAATAAAACTATAAATGTGATAGTTTGCTTGTGATCGCTTGTTCTAACAGTTTTTTTTTTTATTTTGGAAACCATAATATTAAATTTATTAGAATCAAAAGTTATTGGTTCATACTTTAATAGATGACAGTTATAAAATTTATAGACACATTGATTACAGGTACATGTGTTCCATTTGATTATTCCTTTTAATATTCATCGAATTATGATTACAATATTTTCAAATATATGGCACTTGATCAACATAAAAATAATTACTTATTCAGGTTTACAAAAGAAAAAAATCATTGACATTATTTTATGCATAACAAATCTTAATAACTAAAATTAAATATGGTACTATCTAACTTAAATGTTAAAATGTTTGTACTATAATAATTACCGGGTCTAAATTTTGATTAACAAAAAAATAATAAAAATTGTATATACATAATATGTCAAAATAAAACACTCATTCCACTGAGTCTTAAAACAAAAATCTTGGTTTAATTTTACATTGTGAGCTGAGTATAATATTAATAATAATTATAGATTTCAATTCATTATTAAAGCACCAGTCTACGTTATATAATAACATTGTAATCGGTTTGAATAAATATTTTCCTACATTTCAATCAAATCTTGAAGGTTTATATAAATCTGTACAAAAAYGTGTTATGTATAAAAAAAAATGGGGAGGGTTTAAAAAATTAAATAACTCAAATATTAATCAATCATTGTCCTACTTCTTGGTTAATTGTGTATGATAGAAATAAAACTTAGAGATTTTAAAAATATATTATTAAATTTTTATCTATTCAGTTTAAATGGTTTACACATTATTTTATTTTTTATTTAATTTATAATAAGTCTTATTTGACGTATTGTTTTTAAAATATATAAATTGTATATGCTTTAATTTATGGTAGTCTTTTATTTATAGTATATTTTTGAGGTAAATTAAAATGAAAAAAATATAATATAATAATGAGAAACGGTTATGTATACATGGAAAAATTTGTTCAGTTTGTGCCCAACCACCTATCTACTAACATAATTAATAATGCGAGGCACTTCAGATTTTTCAATGTAAGACATAAAAATAAAAAAATACATAAAGTGTCA